CTATCACTGGTAGAGCATTGAGCTTGAAGGTCACATTCGATTTGTAACTTTTTTAGAAGTACTGGTCCTGTATGTATATTTTCATAACAGAAAAAAGAAAAGGAGTACTTGTGGCACCTTAGAGACTAACCAATTTATTTGAGCATAAGCTTTCGTGAGCTACAGCTCACTTCATCAGATGCATACTGTGGAAAATACAGAAGATGTTTTTATACACACAGACCATGGAAAAAATGGGTGTTTATCACTACAAAAGGTTTTCTCTCCCCCCACCCCACTCTCCTGCTGGTAATAGCTTATCTAAAGTGATTATCATAGAATCATAGAATATCAGGGTTGGAATGGACCTCAGGAGGTCATCTGGTCCAACCCCCTGCTCAAAGCAGGACCAATCTCCAATTAAATCATCCCAGCCAGGGCTTTGTCAAGCCTGACCTTAAAAAATTCTAAGGAAGGAGATTCTACCACCGCCCTAGGTAACGCATTCCAGTGTTTCACCACCCTCCTAGTGAAAAAGTTTTTCCTAAGGAGAGTAATCTCCTTACAATGTGTATGATAATCAAGGTGGGTCATTTCCAGCACAAATCCAGGTTTTCTTCCCCCCCCCCCGCCCCCAAAACCCACTCTCCTGTTGGTAATAGCTTATCCTCAGCTCTCGTCCCCTAACGCCCCTACTCTACTTGCGCTATATTGATGACATCTTCATCATCTGGACCCATGGAAAAGAAGCCCTTGAGGAATTCCACCATGATTTCAACAATTTCCATGCCACCATCAACCTCAGCCTGGTTCAGTCCACACAAGAGATCCACTTCCTGGACACTACAGTGCTAATAAACGATGGTCACATAAACACCACCCTATACCGGAAACCTACTGACCGCTATTCCTACCTACATGCCTCCAGCTTTCACCCTGACCACACCACATGATCCATTGTCTATAGCCAAGCTCTGCGATACAACCGCATTTGCTCCAACCCCTCAGACAAACACCTACAAGATCTCTATCAAGCATTCTTACAACTACAACACCCACCTGCAGAAGTGAAGAAACAGATTGATAGAGCCAGAAGAGTTCCCAGAAGTCACCTACTACAGGACAGGCCCAACAAAGAAAATAACAGAACGCCACTAGCAGTCACCTTCAGCCCCCAACTAAAACCCCTCCAACGCATTATCAAGGATCTACAACCTATCCTGAAGGATGACCCAACACTCTCACAAGTCTTGGGAGACAGGCCAGTCCTTGCCTACAGACAGCCCCCCAACCCAAAGCGAATACTCACCAGCAACCACATACCACACAACAGAACCACTAACCCAGGAACCTATCCTTGCAACAAAGCCTGTTGCCAACTGTGCCCACATATCTATTCAGGGAACACCATCACAGGGCCTAATAACATCAGCCACACTATCAGAGGCTCGTTCACCTGCACATCTACCAATGTGATATATGCCATCATGTGCCAGCAATGCCCCTCTGCCATGTACATTGGGCAAACTGGACAGTCTCTACGTAAAAGAATAAATGGACACAAATCAGATGTCAAGAATTATAACATTCATAAACCAGTCGGAGAACACTTCAATCTCTCTGGTCACTCGATTTCTGATCTCAAAGTGACTATCCTTCAACAAAAAAACTTCGAAAACAGACTCCAACGAGAGACTGCTGAATTGGAATTAATTTGCAAATTGGATACAATTAACTTAGGTTACTTTTTATAATGAATCAACCATTCCCAGGCTCTATTCAAGCCTATTTCCCCTTGTTTATTCCTCCCCACCCCCCCCCCCGTTCCTCAGACATTCTTGTTAAACCCTGGATTTGTGCTGGAAATGGCCCACCTTGATTATCATACACATTGTAAGGAGAATGATCTCTTTAGAGAAGCTATTACCAGCAGGAGAGTGGGGTTGGGGGAGAGAAAACCTTTTGTAGTGATAATCACCCATTTTTTCATGGTCTGTGTGTATAAAAAGATCTTCCACACTTTCCACAGTATGCATCCGATGAAGTGAGCTGTAGCTCACGAAAGCTTATGCTCAAATAAATTGGTTAGTCTCTAAGGTGCCACAAGTACTCCTTTTCTTTTTGCGAATACAGACTAACACAGCTGTTACTCTGAAACCTTTCATAACAGAAAGAGGTTTATGGTGCCTCCATTGCTATTTATGTACATAGCAAATACATGATATTTGTTGCACAGTGGGCAGCTGTAAATTCCCCAGGATTAGCAGAATCCTCAGGTGGTGTAAAACCAGCACCTCCTCCAAACTGCTCTAAATTATGTTTAGGGACTGTTCTTTCTATCTATCTATTTGTTTCACACGTTCATTTTCTTGGACTCCTTGCTAAGACAGCTGTGCTCAGAACCTATCAAGCCTGATTCTCCACTGCCTCTGTACCTTGTAAAGTCATTTAAACCTATGCAGTATGGGTGGGAAACATACCAAATCAGAATGGAGGTATGAATGGCTACAAAGTGCAAGACAACCAAGAAGCTGGCCCACGCGCTTCTAAACAAGGATCCCTGAACACCTAAAGACAGGTTTCAGAGTAACAGCCATGTTAGTCTGTATTCGCAAAAAGAAAAGGAGTACTTGTGGCATCTTAGAGACTAACCAATTTATTTGAGCATAAGCTTTCGTGAGCTACAGCTCACTTCATCGGATGCATACTGTAATGAAGATGTGACACACAGGAATGCTGGCAATCTTCATTACAGTATGCATCTGATGAAGTGAGCCGTAGCTCACGAAAGCTTATGCTCAGATAAATTGGTTAGTCTCTAAGGTGCCACAAGTACTCCCTTTCTTTTTGTGAACACCTAAAGAGTCTCTGGTTCTCCTGTTACAGGGGCATTCCCTATTGTGATTGTCCCTTCCTCACTGCTGCAGATTCTTTAGTCGAAGGTACAATAGCCATAGCAATGAAATTAGAATAAAATAAACCATCTCTTTCTGGAGCTGAAGCAACCCTTAAGAAGCTCCACCGTTGAAAACCTGCCATCTTTCACCTGATAACTACTATATTCACAACTGTAAAAACTTAACACATTGCATGCACTTTCCATTAATACTTAGAAGAATGCTAGTTTCAAATATTCATCCACATTAGTATAAAGTTTGGAAAAGGAGAACAAAGGTATGTTATATCCTAATAAGATACTTGGATTGTCAATTTTAGAGACTGGTCATCTGAGCACCCATTTCCCAGTGAGCAAAAAGAAAATGGAAACACACATCATAAAATCATTCCATTATTAATACATGAAAGCATGTGTAATCCACACAGGGTGTGGTGCTCTGTTCCATCTAGTGGCACCGAGACCACTTAGAGAGAGATTAATGAGTCTGCTCTGCAGCCTTAGCTAAGGGTCATATGGTTTTTGGCTCATGCATTTAGCTTCAGAGGTCCCAGGTTCGATCCCGCCCGCCGACAACCAGGGTCTTTCAACATTACAAGTGGCTGTACAACAGACTCATTAATCTCTAAGTGGTCTCGGTGCCATTAGATGGGACAGAGCACCCACACCAAGGAGGTCTGTGGGTTACACATGCAACAGATATGACCCACTGACAAATTGAGGCACCACTGCAGCATTGTCACACAAAAGGAACTTTCTGCAGAAAACATACCATTTTAAGCATTCTGTAAGCTGCTCACATGAACACATTTGTTGCAGAGCACCTATGCCCAAAGGGAAGGTATAACCAACTTTTAAGCAGGCACCATGCCATTCTAACAGATGGACTTGAGTGCTGACAGTCAAGAGACCACATATATGCATTAACTGTATTTGTGGAGGACATGACTCCCAGCCAAGAGTGGCAAAGCAGCTGTCCATTCTAAGTGTATGCACCTATGATTAAAAGGATGTGACTACGAATCCAACTCTGAATATTAATCCATCTTTCCAATTCAACCAACAACAACAAAAATAAACTCCAGTGGCTACATAAAACAGTCATTTAGCACTGCTTAATCAGGTGGAGATGACTCAGTTGGGAAAATCTGTACAGTTAGTTTGAGTGCAGAGCGGCTGTCAAACTTTTATGGAGAGAAGAGGCAAAATAAACTAGAGAATATGATGACCTTTAATAAGTAAATTGGTTGCTGTAGCTCTGCATTTTAATTTGAATCAGGATTTGAATTTATATGTGCATCTAGTACAGTGGTTTTCAACCTGCGGTCCACAGAACCCTCATGGGTCCGCAAACTATGTCTAAGATTTCCAAAGGGATCTGCACCTCAATTGAAAAAAATTTTAGGGGGTCCGCAAATGAAAAAAGGTTGAAAAACACTGGTCTAGCACTTGGTGGGGAAAACTGATGAAAGAAATAGCACTGAAATGCCTATTAGTCCATTCCAAACCAACAGAAATTTGGAAAATGTACTCGAGCAAAGCCTGTCCTTTATTCTTCAGAGCGATTACTCCATATTAATATCTCATAATAAAACTAAACAACATATTTGCATAGTGGGTTGATCCTTCATTTGGATCCATGTGGATAGATACTACCTACTCTTATTATTGGCATCAGGCCTTGGAGAGGGTTATAGTTTGCAGCTGCCTTGGAGCCTAGCTTTCCTGTTTCACAAAAAGAAAAGGAGGACTTGTGGCACCTTAGAGACTAACCAATTTATCTGAGCATAAGCTTTCGTGAGCTACAGCTCACTTCATAGGATGCATTCATTGGCTGTAGGGGAAGCAGCACCTGAAGAGGGAGACAGGCGCTCATCCACCCAGCCGGGAAGGGCTCTGTAGGAGCAGGTGTCAGGTCCTGCCAAGGCGATGCCTGGTTGCAGATTTGGCCGGGCGAGTGAATCCCCCTCCCCCAGATGTGTCCAGGCCCCGCTGTTCACCCCCAAGAGCAGAGCACACGTTAAGGGCCCAGGAAGCCCCTCGCTCGCTGCCCCCTCTCCTCTGAGCCGCTCTGGGCTCCGGACGAGGCCGTCCCGGGGGCGTTCCACTCCTCGCAGCCCCGAGCCAGCCTGCTGAAGCGCTCCCGGGAGAGCGCCCCGCGGACCGAGGCGGGGGGCCGGCCTGCCCCGGTGGCCGCGCTCCCCCCGAGGAATGCCCCCGGGGCGCCTTGCCCGAGCCGCGCGGAGCAGGGGGAACAGGTGCAAGGCTGCCGGGCCGGAGCACTGAGGCCGCAGCTCCACCTTCCTCGCCTTATTTACGGCGCGGCCACATGCCCGAGCTAAAAGCAGCAGCCATTCAAAGCACGGCCCCGCCGCTGGAGGGGACCCGGGGCCGCGGCGGCCAGCCGGCAGCTGCCGTGCATAAAAGTCATGGGGCTGGGGGGCCGGCGGGAGCGCCATGAAGGCCGGCGGGGGTGCCGCATCCGACCCGGAGAGCGGCGGCGGCGGCGGCAGCAGCAGCGAGAGCAGCTCGGACAAGACCCTGCCCCCCGCCGGGGGCCCGGGCAAGCGCAAGCGGAAGAGCCCCCGGCTGAGCGGGCTGAGCAAGCAGCGGCAGGCGGCCAACGCCCGGGAGAGGGACCGGACCCACAGCGTCAACTCCGCCTTCAGCGCGCTCCGCACGCTCATCCCCACCGAGCCCGCCGACCGCAAACTCTCCAAGATCGAGACGCTGCGCCTGGCCGCCAGCTACATCGCGCACCTGGCCAACGTGCTGCTCCTGCAGCAGGGCGAGGGGGCGGAGCAGCCTTGCCTGCAGTACCAGCCCCGCCTGCAGGGCGGCAGCACCGCCGCGGCTCCCCGGCCCATCTGCACCTTCTGCCTCAGTAACCAGAGGAAGCTGGTAAGGCTGGCACGCAGCAGGGGCTGAGTGCTGCCCCGGCCATCCCAGGGGCGGCTGGTAGAGTGGAGGTTCCCCCCTGCCGCCAAGGGGCTGGCGTTGGTTTGCATCCTGGCACTGCCCCAGTGAGGCCTGTGTGTGTGGCAAGGAGAGTCCCCGTCTCACCCACCCCATACACCTTTAAAACTAATCTCCCAGCCTCAGCAAGCACCTAGACTCCACCGTTCTGCTGCCCATATGTGCCCGGAGCCCATCCTCCTGTTGGCTTCCCTGGGATAGCGGGGTAGACAAGGAGACCTGATATTATATGCTTAGCATCTACAGCGTGTTCAGTACTGTAAACATACCCGCTGCAAAGACTGTCCCTCCAGTGAAAAGCTGACAGCCTCACACATATCCACAGGCAGAACATTCTAAATCCCTCTGGGTACAGCTTTGATGCTTGTGTTAATTTATGATGAACTCACTTCTTGTAAGCATTGCTTATATGAGTAGAAATCTACTGTAAGCAAAAATTGTGCTCTATGACCTGTACATTCCAAGCTCCACAAAGTATATAAATCGGGGGAGAGGGGGCGCGCAAGAAAATCAGTTAACTATGACAAACTATTTACCTTGGTCTACCGTTTAGAGACTTGTGTGTCTTCACTTCACTCCCTAAGTACAGTAGCAGTTTCAGAAATCTGTTCTGCCCCAGCTATTTTCATTTAACTCCACTGTTGTATTTCCTGGTATATTTCATAGTTTGTAACAATTTAAATAGTTAAAATGTGATGTTCACTGTTTAATGACATAATTGCTAGGAAGGTAAAGGGTTAAATGTTTATGTTTAGTGTGACTGTGTGTGTGTTAAATTGGGTATAATATTAATAGATGCCAAGTTAAGGGAGAAAGTGATTTTCCTTCTTCTGTGTTCATGTTTCTAATATATATTTTCTGTCCCCTCTTACAGAACAGAGAAGGGGAGAAAAACTTGTCTATTTAAAGTTTAAGTGGACATTGAATCAGATGAGAAGCTTGCACAAATCTTGCACTGACTGTAGAACTGTTTTAGATAACGTCTCTATTCACAATGTTTACACTGAAATTATGCAACAGTAAAAACTACTTTTTAAACTATAAAAAACCCACTGCTGTGCACTTTGTTTTACATTGTGACAGGTTGGTTCATGGTGTTTTGCCAATGAAACTGAACACTGTGGGGACAGTTGCACCTGGTGTGGCTGCTATTTTAATGCAAGAAATGTTAACCTAAGCAGCCAAGCCCTGATCTTGATGGCTTCTCAACTTATGTCACATGATGAAACTTGAGCTTTGAAACCACACAGCATCTCCTGTCAATGGAAGCTGTCATAACATGCCATCCTCTATGCCTTGAACCAGTATTGGGCTGTACAGTTGTACACTCATCTGTGTGAGAGAAAGTGGCAGCTGACATGTTGAGGGTCTTTGAAATTACACTGAGATTATTTTAAGGTGCTCACCCAAAAGCCAGGATAATCACAATTAAAAGGGACATGTGCCTAGGTGTAGGGTGAGCTGCAGTACAACAGAATGCCTCTTAAAGAGACAGCTATGATGGGAGGAAGTCACTATCTCAGTCAGTACCCAGGAAAGCTGAGAAGTGCTGTGCCAGGGATGTATTTTTCATAATACACAGTGTGTGCTGTGCCAGTCCTCTAAATAGTGTGGGATCTTTCTAAATTTGTTCTTGTTAAGCCCACAGAATAGGGAGGGTTTCCCCCGGGCTCTCTAAATTTGTCAGCTAGGTTATTCCCAAGTTGTGCCTTTACATCACTGATGTCATTTATCACTGTTAGTTTATGAACTTGAAAACTTTATTTGAAATGGAGTCTAAAAAGCACAGGTCTGTCATGGTTCCCAATTTGGGCACAATGAGACCTGAAAAAGCAGCTAAAATATTAAATCTCCATATCCAGGTCAATTTACAATGGATGGTTTAGAAAACGGTAAGTTTTACCCACTTTTTGAATTTGGATACAAGTTTTAGCACCCAGTCTCTGTGGGACTTATTAAGCTTTTTTTAAAAAAAAAAAAATCAGACATTGCTAGTGAAGCACAGAATGACTCCAAGGAGTCGGGGTTAACAGTCCCTAAATAAGCATCTCCTGCCCTCCTAAACATTGTATGTACCTTAAAAATATCAACTGTGTGTGTGTTATATACCTCCCCTATGGAATTTTAAAGCAATAGAGTAATTTATGCCATCCTGAGAAAGGCTTATGTTTGCTGCACAGAATAATTGTCTTCCCACCACTACCAGGTCACCACTTCTCCTGGTTGGTTACACCCTCTTGTAGCACTCTGCTGTTATGTCAAAGCCAATATGGTGGGATAAGGAAAGGTAGGCTGTAGCTGTTGAGATGTTTATCGTGTAGTTGACTTTCCTTCACCTCACTCCCCACCCAACACATACAGAGCAAATTCTGCAGATTTTTCCAATAGACACACCAAAAAACATATAGGAGACCTCATTACTTTGGTCTTGGAACTTTGAATTCCTGATGCTCCCCCCACCGGGCATTTTTCAGTGCCACTTTAAGACACGTTCTGTTGTACCTACAGGAGCTGTAGGAAATTTCTCCTCAAAGAGGCTGATCCACAAAATACTGATTCCAATGGGACTATTCATGTTCTTCAAGTTGCACACGTGCTTCAGTGCTTTCCGGAGTGAGGTCTGAATTTCCTGCTTTTAGTACGCTGTTATCTTTACTGCATCCTTAGCACTCTTTCAGTGTAGTAATTCAAACCGCTGCCAGATTAACTTTTTTGCTTTGATGTTGATCAATGTTTTCTGTAAAATGGGACTTATTCACATTTTTAGACTGTACATTTATTTTTGAGTGCAGATTTCTACAAATATGCCCTCCAAAGTTTTGCTTTGTTTTTCAAATGGTTTTGTAATTGCTTAAACTGGATGTGTAAATTTTTTAAAATTTACATTTTTATAGTTTTGAAAGCAGATCTTTATTTTAGATTGTACTGTAGATTATCTTGAAACATGATAAAACTATATCAAATGTTAGCTCCTTTAACAGAAATAAACAGATTCACTTATATAACAGTTGTATCTTCCATTAGGATACTGTAAGTGATAAAATGTTTAAAAAACTGCAATTTCAAACACTCTTTTTTAAGGTTTGTTTTATATTACAAATATTTTCTAATTGCAGAAATTCATAAAGAAGTTGAACAAAATAGTAATTTTGGACTTTCATAAACATCTTAACTAATGTTCATTTAATTTTTAATAGAATCTCCTGGCAAATGTAGCATATTTACATTTAGTATGATTGCATTTCAAGTTTTTAAAGGCAATCAACATTGAAAGGTGTGGTCCACTATTTTTAATGTAGTGTTAACTTAAAGCTTATTACTTGAAGAAACTCATGAACAAGTGATTTGCACAGTGCTACAGTATTTTTTAAAATGGGATCCCACATCCATGGTATTTATGTGCTATGTGTCAAACTTATGCTTCCATTTAAGTCAATGACAAAATGGGAGCCCTCTGCTTAAAAAAAAAAAGGGGGGGGGGGCGTGGAAGGGACATACTCCACACTGAATAGGACTTAATGTGGTATTAAATGCTGCAGTCCTTGAAGTGAACGGTTTTAGTGAGTAAGAGGACTGGGCCAAGGGTTTTGATTATTAAATATTATTTGCATTGTTGCAACACCTATAGGTTCCAATCTGACCCGCAGTGCATTAGGCTCTGTGTTACATAAACAGTACCTGCCCTCTAAAGCCTATTCTGGTAAGATTTCATAGACACAGGCCCCGATTCTGCAGACAGGTGTGAATAACTTTATGCATGTGAGTACCATTGAACTCAGTGGGGCAGATGCTCAGCTGGTATAAACTGTCATAGTTCCATTAAAGTTCTTTGACAATTTGTTAACTGAGGATCTTCCCCAGTGTCTCTACTCACATGCATACATGCATGCAGAACTGAGTTGTTATTGATAAACAGGTTCTCCGATCAGCGTGAAAGATCTGGATGGTGGACAACGTAATGACACTTAGTTTTCAAGAGACATGTATGAATTTAACAATTAGGAGTCACAACTGAGGAGTGAAAATAATTTATTAGGATGCTTACTGTATTTACTCCATATGAACTTGTCTGTGTGCCTTATCAATTCTGTTTAAGTCAGTCACACATTATTTGTAGCATGCACAGACTTGGATGTCTAAAACTGAATACTTTAAACTCACATTTAGGCACCTACATTAAATTTTTTTCAAGGGGTGCTGAACACCCTCCACTCCCACTGAAAATATTGATTTTCTATATATATATTTGAGTATATTATTCATAATTTATTTAAGTGTACCTAATTTAAACCCCGATAATTATTTTCCCTGTGTCGACTTGGCTATTCAAGTTTAGATACATCTGTTTTATCCAGAGGCTCATTGGTAAGACACAGAAGCCGATCTCAATCAGATTTTATTAAATGATCATTTTAAAAATTAAACCCCCATACTCCACATTATCATAGCCACTGAATTTGTTGCAAACATACAAAAAGTGCCCGCAAAAAGGACAAATCAAAATATGATTTGACTAGGTTTATTAAACAAGTATTTGACCATACTATTTGATTACTTATAAACTAATCGGAATGTATGTCTGAATGTTCTTTAAGGTGTTTGTTACTATATTTTAAAGTAGTTGTTCTTCAAGGAGAAGTGTTTCCTTTCTAATTTGTACTTGAAAAAAATCTAGCTTCTGTATAAAATCCACATTTGTTTGCAAAATGTGCTATTTTGCTAAAATAAACTTTTTATAACTTGTATAAACAATAAAATGTTAAAGTTCTGGAGGTATGCATCTTTTCTTTCTCTCTAGCAATCTCATTGTTGAAAATATGCACTGCTGAATACTGTATGTTAAAAGCAGATATTTCTTTGTACCTTTTAAAAGATTCTGTATGATAATCCTTGTATATTTATTGCAAATAGGATTTAAAAAAAAATTAAAATTCTACATTAGGGCCGGTAGAGGATTTTCATTAATCAGTGTTTCTCAGACTTGCCATGAGTCAATAGTCGTATGGTGCAGTCTCCCTTTACTTCCAACTGCTTAAAGTCATATTAAAAGATTTTTTTAAAAATATTTTGCTAATATTTTTTTCACATAAGCAATTGCTTTTGTTGCCACAGGGATGTTATGCAATCATGAATGGGAAGGTATATGCTTCATGTGACAGCAAATGAGATGGCGATCTCTTAACAAAAGAGATAAAGCATTCTCAGCCTAAGGGAGCTGAGCAGCTACGCAACAAATGTCCAGAGGAGACCAGGCAAATCTAGTCTTACTGTGTTTAGTGAATGCTGCAAAACCTTTGGAAGACCCTGTCCGCCATAGGAGTGACATATCACTAACATCCCTTCTGCACTAAACCCCACCCAATCAAAAAGAAAATAAAAAACCCTACCCCCTAGCAGAGTTTTACATTGAAAAGGGAGAAGTACAATAGCTTCCTTGAAGTCCACTAGGGACTTCGCTTTGCTTTCATGTGGAAGATGCTCAGATCCTTAGGTCATGGGAAGCATTACAAAACTCTAAGGAGTTAGTCCTTGAGACAATTACCGCCTTCATCCCCCTCCCCCCAAAACAAAACAAAAAAACGCTGAGACTCTCCTCCCCCTGCATTAAACAATTTCAAACTCAATCAGACTTCATGGATTTGAAGTTTATTCACAAATCTCAGTCTTTCCAAAATCACTGAGGTGGGCACCACTACTTTAATTTTTTCAGTAATAATAAAAATAACTATACACGTTTGCTAAGTTCATCTAACAGCGTCTGCTCTCATTGTGGGTTCTGGTGTCAGAATGAAGACAGGAAGGATGGTCCAAGTACTTAAAATGCTACCATGGGCCAAAGGAGGCCCTGCTCTACCGCAGATATCCTGTGTGACCATGGGAAAGTCACAGCCTCTCTATGTCTTGATTCCCTATCTGTAAAATGGGGAGAATAGCATTTACCTACCACCTCACAAGGGTGTTGAGAGGGTAAATACATTAAAGGTTAGGAACAGAGCTGGGAGGAAGCCAAATATTTGTTGTTTCAGTTCTTCTGAAACAGATTTTTAGACTTTCCATCCCATGAAAATTATGAGTTTTCAGCCTTTTTATCCCTATTCAGAATGATTTTCCCACCCCCCCACCCCCAATTTTTTTTTGAAGTTTTTCATGAGGGGAATTCAGTTTTCCAGCTAGTTCTAATTATGAGGTACTGAGATACAATGTGATGGGATCCTTAAGTAGACAGCTTAGCATGTACCATAAGAGCAGCAAAGTCTTAATTAGTAATAAGAACATAAAGGATCATGGAAGGATGTTGAGACAGACAGACAGACAAATGAAATAATACAGATGGCCTAGTGCCAGGGAAGAGACTTATACGGAGACAGAATATGCGTGGGAGCTTGCAGGAATGAAGAAAAATGTGTTTTGTAGTTTAAGTAAAATAAAAGGTTAAATTAGATTTAAAATAATATATGTTTGTGGAGGTCTTGCAAACTGCAGGTCCATTAACAGTTGTAGGAAGACCTTGAAAGAATATGGCTTATTCAAAAAACTGGACCTGAAAGGTAACTGACAAAACAGAAGAAAGAAGAAATCCCGGTTATCAGGGCTACTTAATAATAAAGGATTGTGGGCATTGAACCAGCAATGACTCCAAATCAAGCAAATTCTGGATTTTAGCTAAATGTAGCAATTGGCAATGGCATCTCTTTGTTAATGGGCATAAAAAGGGCAAACACTTAAAGGGTTCATTGATAATACCTGCCTGATCAAGATGGAACCAACCAACATGAGACTAAGCACCTCTAGGTTTAGTCCATTCATATCTTAAACACTTAAGAATGTCTGTTACTCTTTGGATGTAGTGATTGCTTATTATTTAGGCTTTTTAGACATGTTTAGAGCAATTGTAGAAATGTCATTTGGCCTTTGGATTTAATAAAGGAATTTATAGTTAGTATCTGGTGGTACCCTATATTACTACTAATTCTAACAGAACCTTTGAAGGTTGAGGAAATGGAGACTGGACTGTAGAACCAACAAGGAGGTTAGGAGAGAGAAACTTCCCATTGGGACAAGAGCATTTTGGGTATTACAAAATCTAAGAAAAAAGGAAATTCAAGATTCAGAGAGCATGCACCTAGGGCCCATTTATTAATAGGTGCTCAGCATATAGTGCTATCAAATGTTTTTAAAAGTGGTAGTGAATGTCTAGCCAAATCCAGTAACAGTTATAGCATATTACAGACTTAGCAATAGACTGTAGGTTTCCTATCTCTGCCACTACCTTTGAGAATCATAGAATCATAGAATATAAGGGTTGGAAGGGACCCCAGAAGGTCATCTAGTCCAACCCCCTGCTCGAAGCAGGACCAATTCCCAGTTAAATCATCCCAGCCAGGGCTTTGTCAAGCCTGACCTTAAAAACCTCTAAGGAAGGAGATTCTACCACCTCCCTAGGTAACGCATTCCAGTGTTTCACCACCCTCTTAGTGAAAAAGTTTTTCCTAATATCCAATCTAAACCTCCCCCACTGCAACTTGAGACCATTACTCCTCGTTCTGTCATCTGCTACCATTGAGAACAGTCTAGAGCCATCCTCTTTTGTTGCCCTTCGCTGGACTCTCTCCAATTTATCCACATCCTTCTTGAAGTGTGGGGCCCAAAACTGGACACAGTACTCCAGATGAGGCCTCACCAATGTCGAATAGAGGGGAATGATCACGTCCCTCGATCTGCTCGCTATGCCCCTACTTATACATCTGGATCTAAACTTCTGTCTCACTTTCCCCATCACACAGCATTGTGAGTCTTACTTAGTGTTTGTGAAGTGCTTTGAGATCCTCAAAGGAAAAATTCAATAGAAATAAAAACAAGTTATTGATATGGGTGGTGACATTAATGATGGAAGTAACGTTACTTGTTAACAACAAACCTACATTCCTACCTCTCCAACCCATTTCCTCCCACCCCAACAGAATAAAAAAAGCTTACGTGTACAAACATACACATGTTATTTAACAGTAGTTGATAGTAGATGATATAGAATCATAGAATCCTAGAATATCAGAGTTGGAAAGGACCTCAGGACGTCATCTACTCCAACCCCCTGCTCAAAGCAGGGCCAATCCCCAACTAAATCATCCCAGCCAGGGCTTTGTCAAGCCTGACCTTAAAAACTTCTAAGGAAGGAGATTCCACCACCTCCCTAGGTAACGCATTCCAGTGTGTCACCATCCTCCTAGTGAAAAAGTTTTTCCTAATATCCAACCTAAACCTCCCTCAATAGGAAAAGACAAATAGGATAGGAAAAGAATTATGTCTGGCAGAAAGGTCAGGCATCTGTCAGGTCTAGATGGGATCAGGCAGCTGTGTTCTAACCTGAAAGGGTGTTTGAAGTTGAGCCTTTCTAGGAAAGCGACAACATGTTCAGTATGAAAAGCAGCAAAGTGGGCTCAAGGTCTCCAGCCAATAAAGTAAATCCTGAAAGAGGAAGCTCTTAAGCTCATACTTTTCTCATGGAATAGGTTTAGTAGTTGCCCTAAGATATGGATATTCTTTAAACATATCATTGCTGTGGCAGATGATATGAAACAGCTGGTTTCAGACTAGATTGTCAGCTGGTGTAAATTGGTGTAACTCCAGTGAGTCAAGAGCCACGTCAGTTTATACCAGCTGAGAATCTAGCCCTTGCCTAGTAAATTGTAATCAGATGAAAATCAAAAGATTCTTCACATAGCTGAACCTAGTGATGTACAGTGGTGGTCTGAATCATGATGAAATCTTACATATTATCCATGCAGTTAAGCGTAAATTTTACCACCACTTTGTTATGTTGACCTATTCTTTCCAAATGTTGACAATTTTCTAATTAATTTATTGAGGCATTTTCTCTATTTATATGACAAGCATGCTTCCTACCCACCTCCCTGCAACATTAAATAACTAGATGGCCTCTCTGTGAAAAGTGCAAGTTCTACTAGATTTGTAGTGTAGTGTACGCACATTTAAAATGGATAGCACTAGAGTTTCCCTCACTAATCATGAGTGGCAGCACAGGCTGTGACTCACCCAAGCTTTGCCTCTCTTTAGTTCTGTGATCCAGCCTATCATAAACATAAGGACTGCTTGCCACCAGTTTTGTATGAAGTCCTCAGGGCTTGGCTACACTTACATTTTATAGCGCTCTGACTTGCTGGCTCAGGTGGGTGAAAGATCACCCCCCTGAGCGCAGCAAGTCAGAGCGCTTTAAAGCGCTGGTGTAAACAGGCTCCCAGCTAATCCCCTCGTGGAGGTGGATTACCAGGAGCACTGGGAGAGCTCTCTCCCAGAGCTCGCGCGCGACCACACTGCCACTTCAAAGCGCTGCCGTGGGAGCGCTTCGAAGTTTCCAGGGTAGCCATGCCCTCAAATATTTAGCCTTGTTGAGCATTCCATGGAACCTGATGCTCATACCTGAGCAGAGAACTTTGGATGTGACACACACAAAACATACAGCCCTTTTCAGAATCTCAAGGCTGCTGCTCCTGCTAGCTCTCTGCTGAGTGTTTCTAAATTGAATGTTACCCACTCAGTCTCACACGGTGAAATTCACCTCTGTGCTGAGTGCCAGAATACAGTCTAAAGCAGGGGTCGACAACCTTTCAGAAGTGGTGGGCCGAGTCTTCATTTATTCACTTTAAGGTTTCGCATGCCAGGAATACATTTTAACATTTTTTAGAAGGTCTCTCTCTATAAGTCTATATATTATATAACTAAATTATTGTCGTATGTAAACAAGGTTTTCAAAATGTTTAAGAAGCTTCATTTAAAATTAAATTAAAATGCTGATCTTACGCCGCCGGCCCACTCAGCCCGTCATCAGCATGGGGTTCCGTTCACCTAGGCCAGCAGCGGGCTGAGGGGGCCTGTGGCCGGGACCCCGGCTGGCAAGGGGCAGGCAGCCAGAACCCCAGACAGGCAGTGGGCTGAGCGGGGCTGGTGGCTGGGACCCCAGACTGGCAGTGGGCTGAGCGGCTCAGCCCACTGTCGGTCTGGGGTTCCATCCGCCGGCTCCTGCAAGCCAGGATCCTGGCTGCCTGCCCCGCTCAGCCCGCTGCCGGTCTGGGATCCCGGCCCTGTCCACATAGAGTAGGTACCTACCTTCTCCCTGGTTCTAGCCATTCTCTTCCTCTCTCTGCACTGAGATGAGGGTGGGAGTGTGCTGAGAACAGGGCTGGGGGTGAAGGAACAGGCGGGGGGGCTGGGGTGCAGGGTCTGGCCAGGAGCTAGAATGAGGGAGGGGGCTCAGGGTTGGAACAGGAGGTTTGGGTGTGGAGCACTTACCTGGGAAGCTCCCATTTGGTGCAAGGGGTGCAGGTGGGAATGTGGGGGGAGAGGTGCAGGAGATCCTGTTTGGTGCTCAGGGTGGGAGTGGGGATGTGGGGGGTGCAGGAGTCAGGGCAGGGGGCTAGGGGGGCTGGGTGTGTGGGCGGTGCTGGAGTCAGGGCTGGGGTTGTGGGGGGGGTGCAGGGGTGAGGGCAGAGTGTGTGTGAGGGGGTGTAGGGGTCAGGACAGTGGGCTGGGGGTGTGGGCTGGGGTCGTGGGGGGTGCTCCCAGCCCCCTGCCCTGAGCAGCTCACAGCAGGGGGCTGGAGGGGATATGCCCTGATTCCACCCCTTCCCCAGGGTCCCCGGAGCAGAGAGCGCGCTGCGGCTCCGGTTTTTCCTCTCCCACTCCGTAGCAAGGGCTGTCAGCAGGAACCCAGCACGCTGGGGGAAGAGGCAGGGGGAGGGGGAAGCTTGCCTGCCCTGCAGAGAGAGAGCAGTGGGCGGAAAAGCGTGGGCCGGGCAAGATTTTTAGTGCCCGGGTCCGACAGACAGCAGCGTGCCATTAAAAACTGGCTCGTGTGCCGACCCCTGGTCTAAAGAATGATGAGTACTTGTGGCACCTTAGAGACTAAAAAATTCCACTCTGAAACCAGAATACAGTCTATGCACCACTTCAGTTACTATTTAAGTTCTCAAGATACAGCCTAAATTTTCCCAGCTACAGCTG